CTCCCCCCCGCTCAGCCCTCCCACCCCCAGCTTGCTCCTGCACCCTCGCCCCCCCGACCCTATATCCCAAGTCTACTTCCCGGCAGCCACCCCCTCACAAACACTGAACCCCTCATTTTTGGCCCCACCCCAGAGCCTGGGGGCCCCATTAAAATCTACACGCCTGGGCCCGCCTAGGCTCTGGTGTGTGTGGGGAAGGTGGGGAGCATCTTTCTGCTTTTCCGTCCGGTTTTTTTCTCACTTGTGTGCAGCCCCAGACTGATTTTTCTGTGGGGCAGCAGCCCCCGTCCCAAAAAACCCCCCCCCGTCTCCCCCCCTCCCCGCTGCAAAAGCCTCTGCAAAATGGGGCAAGCGTGACATCTAGTGGCCATTGCCAAACACCTTGCAGCGAATTTCGACTGGGCCCTGTATTTCCGAGCAGTGGGACAGAACGATGGACGCCATGTTATCCGGGGAACTTCAGCCTGGGCAGGGGAAGCGAGGCGGGAACAGCTGGGACTTGGGAAGGGTTATCCAGCTCTGGCTGCAAAAGCCTCTGCAAAATGGGGCAAGCGTGACATCTAGTGGCCATTGCCAAACACCTTGCAGCGAATTTCGACTGGGCCCTGTATTTCCGAGCAGTGGGACAGAACGATGGACGCCATGTTATCCGGGGAACTTCAGCCTGGGCAGGGGAAGCGAGGCGGGAACAGCTGGGACTTGGGAAGGGTTATCCAGCTCTGATTTCCTGGGGGTGGGGGTGACGGTAACTCCTGGGAATTGCGCTCAGGGCCAGCGATCCGCTGTGCCAACCTCAAACGAAAAGACAGTCGCTTCCCCGGAGAACGTCCGAGCCAAGTGTCACTGTACTTTGGACAACTGGGCCTTGGCTAAAGACAAGGACACAGCACCTCTTGTCCCCTGCTGTGCCCCCAAAGTAGGGTTTTTTAACCCTTTGCACTCTGTGCTTGGCAGTGCAACGCACAGTGGGAAACTGAGGCACGCACAAGCCTCCTAACAATATCGTCGCTCCAAAAATTCCCACTTACAATAAAAACCAGCCCTGCGTGCAGGGCTGTCCGTAGGCAGGGACAGCATGCGCCAGGCACCACGGTGGCAAGCCGTGTGAGCGTGGGCTGGAGGACTTCAGAGGAGAAGGGAGCACCCGGGCCTGGGTCTTCCCTGCCACCGCCGGTGCCAGTGAAAGGGGGGCACGTGACGTGGCACAGACTCCTCTTCTGGTGCTGAGCCTCCTGCCCAGCTGCTGGCTGCCCCCTTCTGCCTTAGGGGTGCATGTGGCCTCTAAGGCAGGAGGGGCCAGTCAGCAGCCAGGCTGCGCTGGGAGGAACAGCCTGGCCTGTGTGATCATTTCTGCTGCACCGTCCAATGCCTAGGACTTTAGTCCATTGTGCTAGGGCGTGTTCATTCCACGTTAGCAGCATCAGTGGGTGGAAGCGGCTTGCTGGGTCTTGTCTTGGCTGGTGTGGAGCTAACGCAGAGGCTCTGCATTGGTCTTGCTCCCAGCCCTGAGTCCGGAGGGCAGGCTGGGGGCACAGCTGCTGCAGGCTGCACTGTGGCCGGTGTCCAGGGCCCAGGGGAAGCGGGGCATAAATTAGAGGACCTGAGGCCGCGCAGTCCCGTGGCATGGGGTGCACAAAAGCAGCATGATGCCCCCGAATCATCCCATGCCATCCCATCCTGGCCCAAACTCTGGAAAGGGTTACCAGATAGCCAAACCCAAGCTGCCGCGGGGGAGCCGCAGTGACCTCCAGTCTGCTATTAATTTCTGATAGCACTTGGGAGCCTCACTCATGGTCCCCAACACCACATAAGGTGGGGCCTGGCGCTCGTAGGTTTCACCCTTCTCTTGATAGTGCAAGGGGTCTGTCCTGGGGAGAGTAATCCTGCAGAGCACGATTTTGAAACCTTTGTGTTCTCTGACTTTTCTTACAAGGATGACGAGGGGGATCCAAGGGGCTGGCTTGGTGTACTTTCTTCATAGCCGCTCTACCTTGTTCTCCAACAAACACACTTACAAAGCCACGTTTGCTTTGTACCGATCCCAAATTCCCAGGGGCAGGAGCAGTGAGCACTTGGGCAGCCATCCTGGGCGAGACTCACATGCCGCTCAGCTGATTGTAGCAGCTCTGCCACAGCTGTGTTTTTAGTGGTGGTGCCCAAAACAAAATTTATTCCACCCATGGGTGGAAAAAAATTAGAGGGCGCATTGGGCAGGACTCAGTGTTGAGCCACCACCGAACACACAAACTGTACGACACCAGAGGTGATGTGGGGAGGGGACAAGTGCCGGGGGGTCCTGAGGTGAGGTGGGGGAGCGGGTCTGGAGAGGGGGCCAGCCCGTGGGCAGGAGCCGGGAGGTGGGGGCCTGGCTGGGGTCGCAGGGA